TTCCATTTCGACTCTCGTTCCTCCGTTCTCTTCTCCCCTCCTCTCTCCTCGTTCCAAGACTGCCGACTCATTCCATCTCACCTTTTTCACTCCGATTTCTCTTCCGCCTTCCATTATTTTCTTTCGCCTCCATGTTCCCGGGTTCCTCTCCCGTTCCTCTCTCCAGCGCTCCTTCCTTCTTCCTCTTACTCCGTTCCAGTCCTTCCCTTCGTCACTTTCCTCACGACACCCTCACACTGAACTTCTTTCCACCTCGCCATCTTTACCCCCTCTCCTTAAATACGCTTATATTTATACATAAAATGAAATTAAAAATAAGTCCATCATATCTTACAGAAAATATAAAAATTGTCGGAGATACACATTCATATAACACACGGCAACGCAATGATATCCAAATAGCTAAGCGTAATCAAACACGATCTCAACAAACACTAATGTACAACGGCTTTAAAATTTATAATGACTTACCTAAGTCCTGGTCTACAACCTTGCTTTAAGAAAATATTTTATCTCTAAGCCGTAAGCTCTAAGTTCTAAGCTCTAAGCTCTTAAATAAATCTTAAAGACGGTGATCCACAATATAAAACATTAAGGCGTAAAATGTGACGTATATCAGCTAAAGAGAAAAGGTTATTCGGACTTGCGTGTTAGTGATACATTTGTTAACATGCAGTTCCTTTAGTTTCTACATAGCAAGATGGATTTACGTAAAGCTCTTCTGCTAACAACGGTGTTGTGTTCGTGGAATGTGTATCTGTTACAAATATATGAAGTACGAAGACGAAAAGGAAAATACCGTCGGTGGTGGGTGCGTCCATGCAATCGATTTCGCAACATCGAGGGTGCTTTTGAAAAAATATTTTTAAAATACAAACACACAGACCATGAAATGTTTTATAGCTTGACAAGGTTAACAGTCGATTTATTTGATGAACTGCTGGAAATTATCGGTCCACATATACAAAAAACTAGTTATAGAGAGTTTTTATCCCCGGAATTTCGATTAGCGTTCACTATTTGCTAAGTTAGATAACAACAACAATCATTGTCATTGAGATGTACTGCTATGGAAAAACTTCCTGCTAATAGTTGTCTATTTCAGCTGCCTGGCCTCAGGAAACAGCATCCCATCGTTAGCTAATTACTGGCAAATTGGGAAGAGTACTGCTTATAACATTGTGCGGGAAACTTGTGATGCTATTGCAAATATCCTAGGTGCAACCTACCTTTCGCCCCCAACTCAGCAAGAATACCAAAATATTGCTCAGAAATTTTGGCAGCGATGGAATTTGCCCAATTGTATTGGAGCCCTTGATGGGAAGCATATAAGAATTCAATGTCCATCAAATACTGGATCCCAGTATTTTAACTACAAACAATTTTTCAGCATCGTACTAATGGCAACATGCGATGCAAATTATTGCTTTACATCTATCCATGTTGGAGATTATGGTGAGTTAATATACGTAGCTAGATTTATATTAATATTATGTTATGTGTATACATGCTTTATACATAGCCGTGTTGTAGGATCGCTTCCCGATAGCAGTGTGTTCAGTGCTACAGAATTTGGTCAAGCTGTGGAAAATGATACTTTAAATGCACCTCCGCCATCTGCTTTGCCTGGCACAGATATAATGATGCCTTACTTTCTTGTAGGAGATGAGATTTTTCCCTTAAAGCACAATTTAATGCGCCCATACTCCAAACGAAATAGACTGACTGACAATGAGACACAACGAATCTATAATTATAGACATTCTCGAGCTCGGCTAGTAATAGAAAATGCTTTTGGCATTTTAACGACAAGGAATGGTAGAAAAAATGTAATATATTTCATCAATTTCATCCCAAAGGTCAATCAGCCTTAATATTTGTCTCTTCATTGTAGGTGGCGTATCCTTCGGACTACACTAGCCTTACTCCCAGTGTTCGCGACTCTCTTTGGGAGAGCTCGCTAGACCGCTGCGGTTGGAAGCAGGGCTGAGAGGACTTAGCGGTGAGAGGCTTGAGGAACGGATGTACGCGTGAGAGGTTAGAAATCACGTGATCGTATCTCGAATCGATTGTGTAAAATACC